ACCAGAGACACACATAAAAGGCTTTCCAGAGAAGGTACCTGGACTTCGTTCAAGCCTAAGAACCACAAATAAATAAACAGGCATAGAAAGCTGACACAATCTCTCCTCTCCTCCTAGACGTTAAGCCATGAGAGCACTGTATGGATCTTTAAGTTCCCAGATCTTTGCTGGTAAAAAGCCAACATCACAGTGGGCTGGTGGTGGTGGGCAACTAAACCTGAAGCCAACGCTAAGGAATGAACACCTATGGACAGAGAAGGTGTTGAGGACAGACAGACAGACATTATTCATCCTACTGTAGGGTATGCCCTAGGAAGTCTTACAAACACCCTGATTTATCCAAATACCCTTACATAGAAATACTCTGATTTTTGAACTTCAGGGAAAAGTCGTGCCCTGTGTTTTGGGTGTTACACAAATAAGGAAGTATTAAAGAAAAATCCTGGAAGCAAGTGGAAATTCCTAAATGCTACCCATGCTAGAAGGAACAGGTTATGCTTGCTTGTTGGGCAGCTCTACAGACACACACGGCCCTGTAGAATAGGCAAGGGAATTAGACTTGCTCTCATTAGGCTGAGGAACACTGCAAAAGACACTCCCACTCACAGCTTAAATTGTGTAACTTGTTTGCCCAAATGGTTCAACAAGACAATAGCACAACTCCTGCTCCAAGCTGCACCCACCTAATGATTAATCTCTCACATGCATTAGCATTCACTGTTTTACTCCTGTCAGCAACTACACGACAAGTTAAGAGAACACAAATCACAGAGAAACACAAAAAACAGCACTAGTAATATTAAAGACATCTAGTCTGTTACCAAGTCCTGAAGCAGTGCGTCGCACATCTTTATAGTATGCCCTAAAATAATACATGAGCTTAAAAGAGGAATGCTTCACCTAACACGGGAAAACTTTCAGCACTGGATAAGCAGATTGAAGTGGTCACACAGAAGAGGAGAAGTTGATATGCACTGAGCCATAGAGGAAAGACAAAAGGTTGAAAGGAGGCCTTGTCTATGTTCTTTGAATGGCCAGTTGGGACCCCTAAAAAATACTCTTTTGGGCAACACAAAAAAAAAGAAAAATATAAGAGGTCTATGCAGAAGAATTTTAGCAGCACAGTAAAAATATTAACAGCAACTCCACGTATCAGTGGCTTGAGCAAGTTCAGGCACTAGCCTGGAACAGTAAAGCTGAACATTGGCATTCAATTTATACATCAGACCATGTGAAAAAAGGTCTGGATATCTGAACTCACAAGGAAGACACACTTCCACTAACGGTTCACCGCAAGGCAATTCACTAGGATCAACTTCCTAAGGAACCTTCCAAGTACTGCTGTTTGGAGAATATTTGCCACTACTTTTGTTGCTTTCCCCATTTAAGACGGTAGGGAAAATCTGCAGTGCTGCCAGAGTTTAAGTAGGCAGCTTAAAAACAAAATAAAAGACACTAAGTACATATCGATCACCATACAACATGAAGATGAATTAGGGATTTCACTGGCTGTATTTGGGCAGTTTGCCAGACAAGAGCAGAACAGTGTAAGAATTTAGGATGCATTTCCCTAAGTTTTCATATACTCTATTGGCCAGAAGACCGAAAGCAAAACGCAGGGACTTCAAGTTTTTCCCAAAACAAGCCCAACTGTAGTACAATACACCATCAGTATGTATTTGCTCACTGTTTGACAGATCTCATACAGAGCACATAAGTGCACCCTAGTCCATCAAATATCTCTTCACTCAAAGACACAAACACAAATAAATAACTTTATTTCTAATTCCTAGCATTTCTGGGGTCTCAGCAATTGCAGAGGGAAAAGAACAGACACAGGAATGACGAGCACAGGTAGGAAACCTTTGGAGAAGCCACAGAGCATTTCACTGGTTTTACCAAACACAAAGCTGTCAGCTGCACCATCAAATTCACTTGCAGTATGTTATGAAAATTTTGTGAACTAAAAAAGGAAAGCTGCACTTGTTGCTAGACAGACTAAAAAAAAATTCTATTACTTACAAATCTAATGTTAAAAATTTGATAAAATTCACTCTGAGATCCATAAGGACTTCAGGTTGCAGTTCTAATTGGCTACAAACAAGACCACCTAATAATCTCCAACTGACACCAGATAGGATCCCTTTCTCTCTGTTGCCAGGACATTCCCCAAAAGACTTCAGGAACAGTTACATTTTAGGTGGACACCCCATGAGTTTCCTTTTTGTATGTTGGTAGTCTTCTGAACTGTAAGGCATGCATCTTTAGCCCAAGCTTACCATAGACTTCCCACCTGCCATAATCCCGCCTATCGTGAATAGCCAATGAGCCAAAGAGAACAGCCCCACACATTTGTGTCTGCTTCTTTAAGCATAAATCTGATAGCAGAAATTTCTACTAATGAGATTGAAGTTTTTTTTTTAAAAATACAATATTCGTATTCTAGATAGCTAACGTGGGAGTACCTCCCAGATCAAAGCAGGCCTGTCAGACTTTGAATAAAGTCTACCCCTCGAGGACAACTCACCAAGACCACAAAGGCAAGAACTTCTTCCTGATATCTAATCTAACCCTCCCCTCTTTCAATTTAAAACCATTCCCCCTTGTCCTGTCACTACAGCCACCCCCCCCAGCTTCCTTGTAGCCCCTTCAGGTACTGGAAGGCTGCAATAAGGTCTCCTCGGAGCCTTCTCTTCTCCAGGCTGAACAAGCCCAACTCTCTCAGCCTGTTCCCATAGCAGAGGTGCTCCAGCCCTCTGAGCATCTTCGTGGCCTCCTCTGGACTCACTCCAACTGGGCTATATCCTTCTGATGTTGAGGGCTCCACAGCTGGACGCAGCACTCCAGGTGGGGTCTCACCAGAGCAGAGTAGAAGGGCAGAATCCCCTCCCTCGACCTGCTGGCCACACTTCTCTGGATACAGCCCAGGATACGGTTGGCTTTCTGGGCTGCCAGCGCACACTGCCGCCACAGGAAGCCAACAGCCTTCCTCTAGCTACTGTCTGCAAAGCAGCAGTCCACCTCACGCTCTGGGAATCATTTCAGCTTGTCATATTTCTTGTATTCATTTTCAGAATCAGGCAGGATCCCAAATCTCTGGCCTTGGTTTTCAAGTAACCGCAAAGTCTGAACAAGCCTGTTCTTAGCTACCAGTGATGCAAAAAGCTGCATGAAAAGTTTTGTGGACTTTTACAGAAAAGGAAGAATGTCACAAAAGTTCCGGCCCTTGCAATTTTTAGGTAAGACTTTGCCATAGTCACTGGGCATACGTTAGCTGTACCTGTTAGTGCTTGCGGACTGTTTCAAAAGACATTTTCCACTTCTGTTGCTGCTGGAGTGGTGCCAGCTGACAGCTTTCATACCCATGGGAAGTGGCTAAAGCAATGCCGGTCTGAACTTGACTACATTGCAGGAGTTCTTAATTATAAGATCACTTCTGGAGGACTCCTCTGTTCAGAAACAGTTGGGTTTTACTGTTAGGGACCATGCTGACTCCCCAGAGAATCCATGTGAGAAATATTCTGTTTTATGAAAGGATGTCCAAGATTAATAGGCCTCTACTGATACTCATGGCTCAACATCTGAGTTACTGTATCTTTCTGAAGAAAGGTGGAAGTGGTTTAGTACATGGCAACTTAGAACAACAATATGGGCAAAGTAACCTTAAAGGCAGGTGCAAATTAAAAAAAAAATAAGGAAGCTAGTGCTGCAAGAAATTTGAAATTCTCTAAAATGCTATGTTTCCCAGCAAAACCAACAAACCATAACTTTTCTGAGTTAAAGCATAGATATCTTCAGTTCTGTGAAGACTACTCCTGAAGCTGGAACAGCAAGTTAGACTCTTCAGCCTGGAAAAAAGCACCTGGGGATATGGTAGAAAGCTACAAAGGCATCGACGGCAGATCAAGTGCATAGGGATTAGCTGCTCACTGCCTCTTCCGAAAAGGTAGGCTCAAAAAAACTCCAACAAACAATCAGTGCAATAGGTAACAGGCACAGCTATTTGCTAGGTAAGAGTACTAAAAGATGTCGAGTTCCTCCTTGAGCTTAAGTAGATAAGCACGTGGAAGGCAGATTCATTATGGGCTACCAATTAGACAAACCAAAAAAGCCCAGGAAATCCTCTGAACCCGAAACAGTCAGGGGATGGAAAGAGGAGTAATCAAACATGTGCTTTTCTTCTTAAGCTTCACTAGGCCTGTATTTACTGCAACTGTAGAAGGAAGCTGGCCTAGATGAGCTTTTGATCTGAACCAGCTCAGCCATTCTTCCATATTCAAATGAAGAAACACAGAATTACCTCTTCTTCAAATTTAAAGAGATACCCTTTCCACTAAGGAAAGATTTCCCTTCTGCAAGAGTTGATGTTCATTTCAATCAAAATGCGACAAACAAGTCTCCACTTTGGAATTCTGTCCTTGCAACCCTGCTCTACTTTCCCATGTTAACAGACACATCTTAAAAGCTTATCAAATTTCACCTTAAGAACTGTTCTGTGAGTTTACATCTTTACAGCTCCCACTGGAGTTTTTTTCAGAACCACACTACTCCTATAGTTAGTAACCTTCTAATTTCCATCCTGATCACAGCCAGCTTTTACCCATCTGTTCTTGTGCCAACAACTGTCTGGTTTTGAGCTAAGCTGCAAGCTGACATGTTCACAACAATGGACCAATGGTCTGTTACAATCAAGGAAAGCAAAAGGTCAGCTCTGCATCACAAAACACCTGTTTAATTTTGAACTTAAAATTCCAAGTTATTCCAAATCCTGGAGAATAGAGTTGAAAGATATACATGTGTGCTTCAGATTCTGCAAAGTGAAAATGCACAGGGATTTTTCTTAAACAGATCCCTCGGACTGGAAAGAATATAAAAAATAAGCACAGACCTGTAAATAACTTTGTAGGTATATTACATATAATTATGCAATTAATTTATGCAATAGGCATAACAACAGAGAGAAAATAAATTAAGATAGTAATGAAGTATAGAAAACTTACTTCCCAATGTTTTCAGGTAGTGCTTGTAGAGAGATGTCATTTACTGAAAGACACGTTAGATTCTGTAATTCAGGAAAGCTTTCAGGCAACCTATGGAGATATTAATTCAAAATCAAGGAATTCCAGCAGAAATATTCACATTTATGTAATACATACTAGAAAAGAGAACATGTAGAGGAAAACAAGAGTCTGTTTAGCAACTACACACAGAGGGAAGCATGCCCAGACTCCAGCATGACTCTCAGAAAATTCTAAGGATCATAGTAAGGGGAAAAAAAAAAACACCCCAAAAGATAACTTAGAGACTTAAAAGTTTCTTCTGGGTCAAAGAACAGGTAATACCCCAGTCTCTTAGACTTTCTCTTCCCTGCCCCCCAAACTGCAACTTTAAAAGCTATAGGGCTTGAGAATATTTTACGCATTTTAACAAGTTTTTAAAATAAAACATATTGAAAAATATCTTTTTTACTATTACTTTCCTGTATCATCCAGATGGTAAAATAATTAACCAAATAATTTCTATTCAGGCTTCAGCTACATACATGCTTACAGCATGATCATTTCCTATCAGCTACTAGGCTGCTCTTTGCTGCCCCTTCATGAAGAAACAGTCTGTTCACTACAAAGACAACGTTCTGCTGTTACAGCATTTCACACTGCTGGTTCCCAACACAACTGCACACAATCCCTCCCTGCTTACACTATAAAATGCAGCCATATGCAAAACACTCCCCAAATTCCCAAAGCTTTTAGGTCCATCATCCGGTCAGTCTTCTGCAAGGCTCAGCTCCCCCTCCCCTCACTGCTTGCTGGCAGTCGTGTTACACCAAGCAGCTCAGTTTGCAGATGCACAGGAGACAGAGGCAGTGAGGTGGAGGAAGAGAAGCCCCTGACCCAGCCATCCAACTTCTGCTCAACCCCCAGAGCATGCAACCTGATTTGGCTCCTGCTTTCCCCATCACACAGCTCAAGACTCACGCTATGACCTGCAGGCAACTAGCCAAAAGGAGACGTCCACCTACAGGCAAATACAACTCTGCATGATGGGGAAAGGGAAACCAAGACAAATTACCAGTGGGGGGGGAGGCAGGGGGGACTGTTTCATGTGCTCAGCTCCATACTGCACTGTTTCTCATTTCCTGGACTTTATTAACAGAACATGCTCAGTATCTCCAAAATGTGAGGTCCACTGTAACTATTAATTATCGTTTACACTCTAACAGGTTTAAGACTGAATTTAAATGGTCTGATTATCTTTTGGAGAGCCCTGAAGTGGTAGAGATGACTGTTGTAGGTCCCTTCCAACTGGAACTGTTCTGTTCTATCCTACCTATAGGACTTCCAGTCTAATCTACAATAAATGGACCTGTTTTTTATTAATATAAACCTGAAATAATCTGAAAACAAGCTGGAAAATTGGTCTGCCAGGCACTTTTAATGCTGAAGCTTCACCAACGATTAAGTTTGACAATGAAGCAACACACTGTATTAGTGGCAGGACATCGATTGGGAAGATTTCCAACTGACTTTTAAGCTTAGAGAATATAAGGACAAGAATCAATGGCTAAAAAAAGTTCCAGGATATCACACAGAAAGGAAGTCACTACTAGACTTTCCCACACTGCCTGGGTAAATTAGTGCCAAAACCTACATGCCGTTACATAGGTAAAACTGAAATTCTCTGTCTCATCACAGAAAATAGCTGGCAACAGTGTGTAAACAGCTTCTGGTATCTATGTTTTCTAACTTAGTTAACTGCTTGGAGTGATGATTTCTAGGACACACGTACACTTCGGAGCCATTTTATCAAGAATTTTTTTAATTCCCTGAACTGTCAACAAAGAGTTAGGAGATCTATTTCAACCCCAACAAAAACCTTTCAGCTCTTTTGTTAATTCCACTCAACTGTAGCTGTGCATTACAACTATTGTTTAAGGAAACAAGTTACTTGGGCCCCAGGCCTTACACAGCAGGCAAAATGGAAAATGATAACTAGCACACTACTAGAGCCAATTTTGACTTCAATACCACGCGATGCAGCTCTGAGCTTTATGTACTGCACGCTGGTGCCTGGGTAAAAGCTGTTTGGTGACCCTTACCACTTACGTATCTAAACAGTTAAGTCTCAGTTTGCTTTACTGGATTTTTGTGGTATTATTATCCTCACTACACAAACAGGCTACAGAGGCACAGGGATTAAGATGACAAGCGTCCCTTTAATGCTCAGAGATGTGACTTTCCAGAGAACTTAGGGTGCACTATAGTTGATATTCAAAGTGAACTTCTGAAGAATCTCCGCTGCACACGTGGGAGAAGCCGTCTTGCAAAACCACTGGAGCAGCTTAGGATATTACAGACACTCTCCTGTTTGTGAGCACTACTGCACCTCAGCCAGCCCACTAATCCTACAAGTATTCCTAGCCCATCTCAGTGCAAAGCAAAGCAGGTTTGCAAGTTCCCAGTGTGAATACTCTGGTTTTTGTGACTTGCTCAGCATCAAACAGGAGCTCTGTGGCAAAGGCTTTAACTAGCAGATTAACTCTACCTCGCTATTTCCAGCCTTATTTCACTCGTTAAATTCATTATTCTTCTGCAAATGGGACAGAGAAATGTAAACAAAACTCTTCTGTACTAAAAGTGTGCATAATCCCCAACGCCTAGCTCATCTGAACACAGACCTGCAGCAGCTGTAGCAGCCACCGGCATATGCAGTGCATTTCTGCCACATGTTACTGCATGTCACTGTGTCCCAGTTGATGGGAGGGTGATGAAATGCTAGTCCAAGCTTTAATCATTAGTAAAAGCCATTATCTGCAGCGGCTGATCTACAGTCTATTCCAAATCGTCAGGCACCTGGTTTTGTGCCAACGCATTCGTGCTAACCACTGCCTTATCTCTCCCAAGTATCAGTATGGTTTTCTTATGCATTTAAGAGAAGGAATGAAAATTACTTGAGACAATCAGATTTACATTTTTCCTTGTTGGCTAACAAATTTCATCCCCTCCCAGAAAAGATGCAGATCATACTTTAAATATGAACCTCTGCTGCAGTCCCCGCCAGACACAGGCACTGTTGGCAAGATTTCATAGAGATACTAGATCACAATTTTTAAGGGCTTATTTAAAATTGTAATGGTTACAGTGAGATTGTGATTCTGGTATGACAAGTACTATGAAGAAGGTGGAAGTTACCTAGTCAGTGGATTCCCACTGAAATCTGCTACCTGTAGTGCTCTGCAGAATGAGATGCTTTCTGGTATTTCAGGAATATCTGCAGAAGAAAAAAAAAAAAAAGGAAAAAAATTGTCAACAACTTGTACTGCATCTACACTGAAATTATTGTCTCATTACATTAAGGAACTTGCTACTGCAAGGAATTATCTCGGTATCTTTCAAGACATTTCAACATGCAAGACTGCTTCACGTCCAAGGATAAAGCAAAGCTATTTTGTGCTTTCTCACGTCACATTTCCTCCTCCTGCTCCTTCCTCATCCTAGACTACTCACCTGTCCTTGGACTGATCTTTATCAGCCTCTGCCCATCAAAAAAAACATACTCTTTGTGCTAGGGCTGTCCTAAAGAACCAATTAAAATATGAACCTCTTGAAATTTGAGCAATACACACCCACAAGGTGTGCTGGCATCGAGTACCTGGGGAGGGGAAACAAGGAAAGGAAGAAGAGAATACGCAAGTCTCTCCACCTGTAACATATACTCATGGAAGCAGAATCAGCCTCCCTGTACTGGGTTTGTGTGACAGGGTGTTGGCAGCGGGGGGGTGGGAGGCATTGCTGGGGTGACTTAGAATCATAGAATGGTTTGGGTTGGAAGGGACCTTAAAGATCATCTAGTTCCAACCTCCCTGCCATGGGCTTCTCTGAGAAGCTGCTGGAAGTTTCCCCAGCTCCAAGTCAGACCCACCTCTGGCCAAGGCCAAGCCAGTCAGCAATGGTGGCAGCACCTCTGTGATAACATATATGAGACATCCCCTCACACAAAAGCAAGGTAATTTGAAAACATTATTCAAATTGACGGGTCCCAAGTAAGTGCTAGTACAACATTTCAGATTGCCAGAAAGTAACCAGAGATATTTGTATGTGAAAACAGGTAATTTTTTCAAGTATCTTCAACATACACATGTACCTACTGAAGTTAGGCATGTTATCTTAAAAATAAAACTGTCTTTGGGCCTCTTACATTAAGCTGTATTTCCACAGTCTGTGGGTCCTCTCTCTAAGTCCTTGTTTACTGTCACTGAGATACAGCAAAAATGAAACAAACAGGTTAGATTTTCTTGTTTAACAAGTTAGATTTTTATGATTCATTTTGAAAAGAATCCAAAAAGAAAAAAAGGTAAATCTTAAAGTAAAACTCTGAGTTCTGTTTCCAAGTTTTGTTCTATTTCCAATTTTCTGCACGTACTCTATCTTCTCCCCCTGCTCTTCTCAAAGAATACTTCAGGAAATGTCTTCATAGATTTTCCTCATGCCAGTGGCACCACTGATCTCGGGATCCATCGGTGATCTAAATATGCTGAAACATATTTGGAAATTAGGTCTCTTCCTACCTAGCTGAGTAACTCAGAATTGATTGCCTATGTACTTCATTCAGCTCTTCTCCACAAAAGCTGTGCAATGGAGGGAGGAGAGTACTCATCAGGTTCATCCCTTGCCATGTAATCTGAGCAAATGCTTTTGAATGATTCCCAGCTCAGAACTGAACCCAAAGCCAGCAAGACCATCTTCCAAACCCACAGGTCACCACTTGTGACTGATCGACGAAAGGGCAGTTAGAGCAGCATCTCCTGGGAACCTTATTCTGTATCCTACACGAGTGGGAAGGACTGGAAGGAGAGAGATGGGCACCCTCAAATGAGTTTCACTCTGTCCCAAGTCATGCTTTCTCTTGGAGTGGAAGCAAATCACTCTTGCCTCACAAACCCCAGTACTCCCCATGAGGAGGCACAGCACCGAAAACAGCCAGGGCAGATGGAGAAACTGTTCCTAATGAATATGCGTAGCTCTGAAGTGGTCTAATCACTAACCCCAGAAATACACTGCATATTCAAAAAAATATATTCACTGTTACTAAATATCAAAATAACGAGAGGGGCGAGTACCCACAACACGAGGCATCAAACAACCAAGCTCTGCTTCCACAACGCCAAACCAACCCACCGAGGGTGAGGTTTGCACAGAGCAGTGTGTGCAGCACAAAGAGTTCCCTCAGTATGCTTGGGCAAGGAAAATAAACTACTTGTCAATCTACACAAACCCTAAGGCCTGTCAACAGCAGTACTGTCCCATAAAATAGAACAGGTGACTTTACAGACTAGGTCTCATCAGAGATGCTTTGTATGTTCTTACCCACCCACTCCTCCAAAACAGCTTTGGTATTTCAGGGGAAACAGTTCATCTTTCCTAGAAATCCAACAGCAATGAGAGAAACTCAGAGCGAAACATCAGGTGAGGCCTTTAAGGTCAGGAGGGACAGGTCACACCAAGTCCCCAAGTCAGGATTAAGAGAGCTCGCTCTCCTGTGGCAGCGTGCCTCACAGAAAGGCCAGAACAAGTAGCAGGACAACCTGGCACAAAGGCCAGAGAGGTGCAGGGGCCGCGATTCGGGACCCAGAGCAAGGGACATCAGGCTGGAGAGCAAGCCTTGTGCTTGTTCAGGCTCTTCAAACCTCTTCACAGGTTTCATCTCCTTCACAAGCCCAAATCCAGCACCACGCGCGCCTGTGACACAGTCAACAAGCAGATCCTCCACAAAGGACCTCGGCATTAGCCCTGAAACTACTGCAGGAGACAGGGCCCCCGAATTTAAATCGGGGACACTTGAACAACCAGCCTGTTTCAAAGTGTCACATTCACAAGCGTCTTTGCTGAACTCACTTCGCGAGCCAAAACCTCACACTTCATCCCTCTCATATGTTAAGGACAAACAGATCTGAACTTGAGTTAACTTAAAAAAAAAAAGAAAAAAAAAAAAGATTGCCCGATAAAATGATGACGCTGAAGTAATAAATTCTCATAACACTCTAAATACTTAAAAGCATTTGCCTGTCACTTACACTCCAGAAAGTAAAACCACTGATGCCATTGCAGGGTCGTTGCTCTGTCTTGCAAAATAGATGCCAAATAAACTACTGGGTTTTTTGTTCTTTTTGTATTACACATTCATGTAGAAGCATCCACTTTTGAAAGGGTGTTCTAAGAAACACAGACAAATGGAAACCTTCCCTTTTCCTAAACAGAAATATACTGCATAAAATCAAAACAAAATCAAAACAAAATCAAAACTGACAGCAAAGCTGATGGTTATACCCAATCCAGTGAGTGAGCACCACCTGTACAGGACTAAATTTGTACTACAGGGTTCTTGAAGACAGAGGTCCTACATGCACTCAATAGATGTTGTTAGTTCTACGTTGAATTACAGCAACGCCAAACACCAATACTGAGCTTTGCTAACCATCAGCAAGCCATAAACTGGAAAACAGAAGGT